CCCAATTTAGGCAGAGAGTCAAAGTGGCTGTCTAGAAAAAACTCAGGATGAGTTACTCTGCTCATGACCAGGGACTCGGTTTGGAAGTGACTGCTAAGGCCAGCGCATCTCCTTTCAGGGAAAACTGGAAAAGACCAACACTGTCGCTTGAGCTCTTTGCCTTGGAGGTACTCAGTGAAAGCTCTTCTGGCTACGGGCATTCACAGTCCCAACACCCAGCAGGTTTTAGGGCCGTCTTCATTAGCTAAATTTTATTGCTGAGAACCACTGCTATTTGATGAGCTGCTCAGTGCTCTATTCAGCAGCCACTGCCTGTTGTTGTTTTTTTTTTTTTTTTTTGGATCTGGAAAGGGCATTTTTCCCCCTGTTGGCCCCCTTGGTTGGAGAAGCCACTCACCAAAGAACTGGGTTTAGCTCGCGAGCCCCCAGCGCACACACCGCTGTCGTCTGCCTTTGCTCAGACTGCATTTGAATATTTTGAAGGTAGCCTGCCCAGACTGTTTAGGATGCTCTCCGAACCGAAGTACCAGCCGGACGACAGAGCGGGTGACTGCCGTACTGTGGGCGCAGCAGACATCCCCTCTGAGCGGCCGGGGCGCTGGGCACGTGGGGACTGCTGCTGCTGATGCAACCCCACCACGAGGTCTGAAGCTAAACTCCACAGCCTGCAACGTGCCGGCTAGGATGCAATTCATGCTAAGCAGCTTTCCTTTTCCTATTTTGACTTTTTAAAATTACTTTCCACTGCTCTGGATGCTTCCCTAGGGCACAAACAGCAAATGAACCATACTGGAGAACAAGCTTAACTAGCAAGGAGAGCTTCCTGGCCATGCAAGGCATCCCAAGGCTGGTGCCTGGCAAAGCGGTGAGATTCCCCGCAGAAAGGCCACAAAGCTCACTAAGATTTGGCAACTTTGCCCTGCTGCTGAGCACCTGGGAGCGTGGCTCCCGCAGACGCACCTGAGCGAGGGTGAAACCCGCAGAGCCGACACTGCAGCGCAGGATTCAGCAAATCCCCCCCCCGAAACCGGAGGGCGTGCTGGGGCTTTGCACCGCACTGCCATGAGTGTGGAGCCAGCGGTGCCAAGCCAGTTAACTGAAAGCTCATGAACGAGGCACTAGCACAAACCAAAGAGTTCAGTAAACTGCAACGGCCTTTTTAAGACTCTCCTGCCTTCTCCCCCGAATGCCAGCTCCCCCCGTGTTTCTTTTCTGACCCGCTCCCCGATACTCTGCCTCCACGGGGTGCCCTGAGCAGGCAGAGTCTCAGGACTGCTGCCCGAGAGTCTCCAAGGAGAGTGTTTCTGTGCAATTGTATTTCCAAAGGTCATTCGCTTCACTTAAAAGTTCATCTTGATTTCTACCTGTGTTTACTTGGACAGTAAGTAAACAAACTGGGTATATAATTTGTAGCAGTTAGGAAAGTATAATACTCGTGCTGCAGGTACGCCCTGATTAACAGCCAAGGGGATATTCAAAATATTGCTGAAATATGCATTTCTGCACATACAAGTGCACAAATATCCCGTGTGCACTACTGATGTAGAGCATTAGAAAGAGCGTGGAGAGGCACCCGCAGAAGTTACAGTGCCAGGAAAAGACAGTAAATTTGGTAGACGACAGTTTTCAGATTCACTGGATCACTCCTAAAGGTGCTCGGGGTGGGGAGGGGGGTCGTGTTAGCCACTCACATAGTTATCCCTGGCGGACCAGCCTGGGTAGAGCTGCATGTGGAGTTGCCGCTCCTTCCGCGCCAGCTCGTAGTACTTGGCCTGCTCCTCCCGCGACAGCGCGTGCCACTGCAACGAGAAGCGCGGTGGTGAGACGGGTGAGACTGGCTCTGCTCGGGCCCAGGCAGGCCCTTCTCCCCCCAGCAGGCGCTATTGCACCGTGATGCCCCGGCTGTGGCCGGGAAACGTCTGACTTTGCAGGGTGAAGCCAGAGCGCTCAGCTGCACGGGCTGCTGCTGCTCTTCGGTAGGTGCTTAAGAAAAGCAGCGGTAGGTGGCAGCAGGTGAAGCAACACCGTCTGGTGGCTCTTGCTGGGGACAGATGTCCTCTCTTCCCAGCCCTCGGGTCTCATGCTGACCAAGGAGGGATGGAGGACATAAACATGGGACCAAGGTGGCAGCACATTCACTGCTCTTACAACCATGATCTCTGTCAGAGCGGTTTTCCATCACTAATAGCAGAAACCCTTCCATTGCCTTGCCCGCACATCTGGAGGGATATCTCTAAACACACCCAAGTGATGCTGTAAAAATCAGTGCTGCCCAAACACTGCTCAAACCACACATCAGGGACTGACCAGCCGTGGGCTTGGCTGGTCCTCAGCCACCCCAGCAGCCTGCAGCAACGCATGGGGCAGGGACAGGCTCTTTTCAGACCACTGATTGCTCAGGGCCTTCCAGAGAAGAGGCTTGCTGGAAGCTCCTCTGGGCTGTGGAGGGGAAGGTGGCTCTGCCTGGAGATGATGGCCCCGAGCCCTGCCTCCCGCTCTCACCCTCCTTCCCAAGATCTGGTTGATGGCCGCACTCTCCTTCAGGGTGCATTCAGCGATGACTTTCGCCCGCATCTCTTTCATATACAACATGAAAGCGTTCAGGGGCTTCTTGATAGTGGGCTTCTTGGCTTCCTTCTCTCTCTTTGGTTCAGGCTGAGGTTTCCTTGGCAGAAACGAAAGAGAAGCAGTTAGCGACGGAGACGCCCCACTACCGGCTGCCTGACAGCGCGGGGCGGCCGCGGGAAACGCTCGGTGGGTGCTAAACCCCCTCGATGGCCAACGGCAACGGGGCTAATTCAGGCGAACGCGGGAGCGGGCCCTGACTTCCG